GAAAAATATAGCCATCCGTTCAAAATACAAACGCGCGATTATGATTTATGATTATCATTGACCATATTGAACCTATTTCTGACCATAATAAATGTATTTCAAGTTTCGCTTCAGTATCCCTTTAAGAACTCCATAAACTGAGAACTCCATAAACCATAAACTCGACCCAAAGAAAAGGAGCGTCGCTTTAAGGTTGTGCACTGGCCTTGAGTTGCGCGACTTGGAAAGGGACATAAAGAAAAGCAATGACGGATAAATGGAAGCCTTTTTCACGGCTAAAACCCATAAGGAGGGTTCACCCAAAGAGGGGCATGGCAGCAATTGGTGAGCCAATACAATTAACAAGGAATTAACTACCTTGGAACTTAGTGACCCATTTTCGGTGCAAAACTCAGAGGCGGTGGCTGAGTACTTGAATTCTGGTACCCATGCAAATGCTGCTGCGTTCTCTTTAGACATTGTTGATTTGTTTTACTTTGTTCCCTATAAGGGCCTCTTCGCGTCGGTGTGCGAGTGTATTGACGACAACGGTGCGGCCAAGTTCCAGAATACTAGTGGTGGGGGTGTTGATTGTTTCTTGGAGCTGCTCAGGTTTTACTTTGTCAACTTTCGTTCTGTTTGAAGGTATATATAAGTTACAAAAAGAAGGAATCTGTATAGACGCATGCTTGACTGGAGCGCTTGGCTACGCTCTTTTGGCAAAGACTGACCAAACCATTGGCGAGAATTTGGGTGCGAGCAGTGCCAGTAAGGTATTTCGATTTGTTGACGATTGCCTGGTAATAACCAAAACGGATGAGGGGGCTTAGAACGATGGCATTGTCAATGCAGTGTTAGATGTATTCACGCAACAGTCTGGGCCCATTTGCTTGAAGCCGGTTAACTTTAACCGCAGGGCGGGCGGCGGCGGTTAAAGAGACACGAGCCGACCGACTTTCAGGCGGCACTTGGCAGGCTCGAGTGGAGTGCCGTCGGACGGCACTGCAGACACAGCCTAATTTTAATTGGTCCGTTTCTTGCTCAAAACTTTAAAACGATCAGGCGAGCGCGCGTCTTCACGGCTTCAGTTAACGGTACTCGCTTGCAAAAGCGCGAAAAGTCGACGTTGAAGCAGGCTCACATGAAGCCAGGGCCGTGAGCGGGGGGGGCCTTGTGAAGTTTATTTCAAAGCTATCGCCTCGCACCTAACGTTTCAGCGTGAAGATTATTTCAAATAAATTGCCTCGCACCTAACGGATTCAGTCTTGGGAACAGTACCTGTCTGTTCAGTAGTGGTCATCGAACGTAAAACTGCGTAAAAAGAACTTCACGTTCACACAGGTCCGTTGTTGTTGTTGCTGAGAGAATGCTAAACGAGCGATGGATCAAAGAACACGGCTGCAGAGCCGTATATGTAGAGAGTTTGGTCAATGGGAGGCGCGGGCAGAGCCAGGGCGTGCGGCAGACTCGGAAAGAGGGCTTGGCATGCTCTCTTGACCAACCAGAAGCCGAAAATAATCCCCTAGCGGTGGTAGCGAGAAACAGTTCTGAGCCGATCGATCATCGAAGGTCTCTGTTCGTATATGGTTTTAATAAGTCCGTAAGAGTGAAGTGTAGTAACTCTTTATGGTTGAAAATAGGGTTCACGTGTTGTTTCATCATGATCATGCAGAAAGATGTAAGAAACGAATGCGCCGCTCAACTCTGTTTTGCGCGGACAGGGTGTGACCGCTCTGACGGCAGATTCCCGGCGCTCGGCGTTTGGCGTAAGGATTATGTCGATCTTTCCGCTAGTCGCACTCTTCCACCATCATCTTAGATGAGTGTGATTGGAACATCACGTGTACCATATTTTCAGCCATCGAGAGTTACTCCAATGCAGTTATCAGGTTTGTTCCTCGAAGCCACCGCCAGGGTATTATTTCCGGCTTCTGGTTGGTCACATTCGAATTTCTGAAGACGCCCTGGAACACGCCCAGCCCGCTTTCGGCCAATGGCGCCTCCGCATTTGTCTCCTATACTTCCCAACGAATGGCCAAACTCTCTACATATACGGCTCTGCACGGCTGAAGCTGAAGCCATTGAATTGGACGGTGACTCTCGCCCTCTGGTCCCTGCGTCACCGAACGAGCGTCTGCTGCGAATCGGCGTGAATCACTGCGCGAGTTCTTGGCATTTGAATAAAATACTGCGTGTTTTTATGAAAATTATTATATTTAAAACAGAAACTAAGGCCGTTCTTGAGCCCGGGGAGGTGGCGATCACGGTGTCAAGTGTAGAATCAGTGAGCCAGGAGCTTTAAAGCGAAACTAGAACAGCGGACAACAGATGCGCGTTGTGTCGGTATCCGCCCTTGCTTACAGGCACGGTGGATTACAGGAGAGGTACGAAATCGAGTCCAGGCGCTCTGTCCTGTCCCCTTCTTCTCTTCCTAACCATTTGCGCTTTTTCGCACCATGTTTAACCAACTAGATTAATTTTAATTTTAACATCATCGAGTCCAGGCGTCGACGGGACGCTTTGCGAAACCCCTCTGCCTTGAGGAGGACACTACTTCGATCATGACGTGAACGACCAAGGCCACAGACGACGGTGGGTTGGCCTAGAGCACTATATAGCTCCTTCGTTGCAGAGGATGGATGGATGGATGGATGGATGAATACGGCTGAGCCCTTTGGATCGGGCGGTAGCTTACGCCACCTAGCCATTTTGTTTTACCATTTAAGCTTAGAATATTTAAATGTGAAATCTACCGGGTGAAACAAGGAGACGGTAGGCTCTTTAAATCGACCGGAAAATTCGGTTTCTCAACCTATCGCGCTACGACTTTGTGCAGCGTCGCCCACAGATGGTGCATTTTTTTTGTAAAATTTGCAAAGAGCGAACTTACCTGAGGAAAAAGTAAAGAAAGAAAAAGGCTTAGCTCCTATGGAAACGCAGCGACGCCACCGGTCTGCAATCAACACGGCGCCGTTTTGCACGGTAGACAAGAGATGGCGCAACGAACGCCGCCAACGAATGAGCATACGGCGCCGAGAGCCAGCGTTTTTAGCAGACGATCTTTTTGAATCAAAAGCGGCGCGCGTTCCGCAAACGGTGACAGTTGCAGAAATAAAAACAGGCGCGGTAACAACAAGCAACTGCAGTTCCTTGTCTGCTAAAAACGCCGGTTCTCGGCGTCGTCTGCTCGTTCGTTGGCGGCAGTTGGCGTCGCGACCGCTTGCGCCATCTCTTGTCTACCGTGCGAAACGGCGCCGTGTTGATTGCAGACCGGTGGCGTCGCTGCGTTTCCATAGGAGCTAAGCCTTTTTCCTTCTTTACTTTTTCCTCAGGTAAGTTCGCTCTTTGCAAATTTTACGAAAAAAATGCACCATCTGTGGGCAACGCTGCACAAAGTCGTAGCGCGATAGGTTAAGAAACCGAATTTTCCGGTCGATTTAAAGAGCCTACCGTCTCCTTGTTTCACCCGGTATATTCACTCCGCAGTGCAAAGAAAGTGAGGCTATGAAACCCCCTTGCCATCAGTGATTAAGAAAATACCTAGTTTTCTCTCGATTTCTGCCACCATTCACTTAATCTTTGCTTGGTAATCTCTACAGTCTTGAAATCCACTCTCCCTTCGCTGTCTCTCGGCGACTAGCGGCGAACGCCCGGAGGTTCCAACTGCGGTCAGAAATGCATGGAGAACGTGAGACAATCGCTGTTTCTTCAGTATTGTGGGAATATACGGAATGGCAATCGTTTTTGACATAATAATGGAACATTTTAGAATAATTTGCGCTAAGTTTTGTGCCCCGCAAGGGCCTGAATTTTTTTTAAAAATTGCTTGAGCGGCATCATGCAGCAGACGACACGGCGACGTCACACCATTCACGTGACCCGCTCCGGCCAACCCGAAAAGCCCATCTCCGCTGCGAGCAAAAATCGTCTGCTTCAAACGCCATTGCCTTGGAAATTGCCTTCTCAAAATTTGTGAGTGAGTGAGTGAGTGAGTGATTTATTTGCACTTAAATTGGTGCGCACACGGCGGCGCGCCAGGCAAGGCAGGGCAGATAGGCAAAAACCCTTACGCGTGTGCGTCTGCCAGCCTGCCGCCGTGTGCGTTGGGAGTTACAGCACTACTAAAGCACTACCCAGCTTTAGAAGCGTTAAAATTATGATGGAAGTGATGATGGAGGTGGTGGTGATGACGATGATGTTGCTGATGACGATGGCGATGGTGATGATTATGATTCAAGAAGAAGAGGGGGTGAGGGAGTGAAGATCATGATGGCAGCAGACGCGAAGGCATTAGTTTAGCGAATACCTTGCAAAGTTCCCGGGATTCATCGTGCGACGTGGGCAGAGGCCTACGAGAAGCTAATGGTATGGTCAAGAAGTCTCTAATGGCGGCAGGCAGCAGGGATTCAGTGTGACGAACAGTCCTGCCTCGAAGAAGTTCGGGCTGACCTGATCTTCTACCGAGACGTACGGCTGCCGATAGGCGAGTCCCCGAAAGAGATCCGTCGAGCAATCGGCACAGCACGCGAACTCGAGAAATCCGCCGTCTCTGATCGAGGGGCCGCCAGCCAAGGGTTGTGAGCCGTGTGTGGTGCGGCACGTCGGTCGTGCCAGGGGACCAGGCGCAGATTTTGCGGGTTGCGCGGCGCTGCACACTCTCCAGTCTCTCGATTAGGTGTTGTTGAGGGGGAGACCAAACTGCAGAGCAGTATTCCAATGAGGGCAGGACTACCCACCTGGCCTTGCGACGCGGGTGATGAAGCCAAGCGTCCTGCGGGACTTCGCGATAACGCCATGTATTGTACACGCATCCGATATTATTAAAACTTTGATAAAGTGTTTAGTGCTTTACTAACTTTACGGCAGACTAGTTTTGAAAACTGTGAACTCGCCGTTCATTTTTTAATCAGCCGTGTTGTATCGATCTCCATGTATTCTCCCATAGGGCGGGCCGCCTCCTGGAACCCTGAGTACCACGTGACTCGCGCCGAGCCGCTCTGTCGGCCATGTTGTCGGCAAAACACGGCGTTCAAAGGATTGCGCTACTCTGCTCCGTAGGAGCTATATAGTGCTCTAGGTTGGCCAAGTGCAGCCTGGGGAAGGTAAGTATTTTTGGAGGAAACGCCCTTTAGATGGCTGAAAGACGCTAAAGAGCACAATGCGTCTGCACGCTGTGCGCGAAGATTAAAGCTACCCAAGAGGTGCTAACGCAGGCAATAAGCGTATTCGATTTACCCACACATCCTGCACCGGTGCGGAAGTGTGGCCCCGAGCGCATTCGATTTGAGGGTGCAGCCCTGGGGATCTGCACCGCGCTGTTCGGCTCTGCGATTTAGATTTACAAAAGTGTAGCTCCATTTCTTTACCTCGTGTATGCTTTCTGCACACGCTCGTTTTGGCGGTGTAGGCGGGTGCATGATAGCAGACGACGTTGCAGACGACAAAATGGGGGAAAATGAGAAAGAGGCGAGGCTTCAAGGGAACATGGCTTGTGGAGGCCAACGTTGCTGGAGGCTATGCGGCTGACGTCATGCCCTCTCCTACCCTCTATCCTCCTCGGTTTAGGCGGGTGCACGATAGCAGACGAAGTTGCAGACGACAAAATGGACTCCCATTCCCAAACGATTCGCGCTATCACCGGCAACCAAGAAACGGTCGCGTTTATGGCGAGGATGGCGAGCCTGCACTCGACGGCGGCTTGCCGCCTTTTGTCACCGAAGGTAAGTGGCAGGTGCTGTTGTCAACCCGAGCAACAAGTACACTCAGGGACGGCGCCAGGCTTTTCACAGTGAGGGGGCAGTGGGGAGGCGCACGGCATATTTGGGGAGGCATGAGCTTTCGATCCGACTTAAAGAACAAATATTCAGGGACCATGACTTGGCGCTTCGGGAGTTTTTAATAGAAATCAGCTCAGTTTATTTCATTATTTTACAACCTATGTACAACTCTGGTTAATGTAGCATTTCACCGGCAAAATATTCAGGCATGTTTACATTCCGCAATACTAAATAAGCACGCTCACGCTTGTCGTGACTCATCATCTGCTTTTTAGGCAGTCCCCTGCACCGCGGGAAACCGGAGCACGTCAGCGATCATGTAGATGTAGTGACGATTCTCCCTTCTTTGCTGAATACGCCTGGCAGAGTTACACGGCGACTGATTTAGCCGCGCCACTTTTCTTCATCTGCTTGACGGAAGCCGATGATGTTTGGGACATCTTGCGTGCCGCACTGCGTCGTAGTCCGCCTTCCTTATGAAGTGCTTTCTTCCAGTTCCGATAGCCCTCTGTCCAAATACAGCACTTCCACTGTTTTACTCCCTCCCTCTCCCTCCCCCTCCCCCCCCCCCCCCCCCCCCCCCCCCCCCCCCCCCCCCCAAATACAGAAACACTTTCAGTTTTCCTCCAACCTCTTGGGATAGTCCCTCGAAGGGACTCCGTGCCCCAGGGTCACGAATGATGGGAGCATGGCAGTTTTCGAACCGCCAGACACACAGTCGCCATCACCAAAGTTGCTTCAAGGACTCCATAGAGACTTGAAATAAGCAGGATGACCTAGACACGTCAAAGCCGCCCATTGGGAACTCGGCAGTCGGCCCGAGCGTGTCAGGACTTTGGGAGATTTCCTCGGTCAGAACATGAACAGTGCCCTTGAGTTCCTTTGTCTGGCAGGTACGAAGCGACGGCGCAGTGCAGATGGGATTTCAACTCTCTCCGAGTAATCACTTGGGTGAAGCTACTTTCAGGAAGTCTTTTATGGTTGGCGACAGAGGAATTGAGAGGTAGACGACGCTCCTTAGCTTCGGCAAGCCATACAGATATTCATGCATCGTTCTTCACGGGGTGCGTAAAAAAAATATAGCGGACGGCACGAAAAAGTTCGAAACGTCCGGTATGAGACCTCTTTAGGCTGGCTATCCTTCAAGCCAATGGCTTTTCTATGGAAGGAGGAAATTAGGAAAATGACGAACCATGTAGCGTATGTGGGTCTGCGCGCGAAAATTAGGATGAGGAAAGGGGGGGAGGGTGTAAAGGCTGGCATGTTTTTTGGGGTGGCAGGACAAAGTTTAGGGGAGGCGCCCGCCACCCCTCGCCTCCCTTTGGCGCCGTCCCTGAGTACACTGTCCCGTGCGCTTTCTAGACGGGATCTGGGTCCGAGCGGCGCCATCAGAACTCTCCTCAGGCGTGACCGAAGGAGACTGACGAAAGCGGAGAAAACGTTTGGGAGGACAACAGTCGAAATATCAGATACACACGTTTGCAAGTCCGGTCCCAGGGTGCCGCCATCTTGCCCAGTGGGGTGCGCTTGGGAGCGGCAATAATCCGATTATGACGCCTTAGCAAGGCTTCGTAATCGGATTAGGACGTGTCCAAGCGCACCCCAGCGAGCAAGATGGCAGCGCCCTGAAGCCGGACTTGCAAACGTGTTAGTTGCTCAAAAATCCAAAAAACCCTAAAAAAAAAAAAAAAAAAATAAATTGTACACATACCATTATTTAACAATTTTTGGAAATTTATGAACTTACATTACAACGAAAAACAAGGGGGACTGAATTGTAACGCGAAATATATTGCGCGCCGTCGTTAATCTTTTTCCGACGACCAAGTTCTGTTAGCCAATTAAAGAAGCTGCCTTTATCGTCGGGTAATTATTCCCAGCTGTACGATTTTTTTTTTGAGAATAATTGTGCGATAAGCGAAAATGTGTTTTGGCATAAGAATAAGTGGCAAGTACCTGAGCCAACGCCTGCTATCTGACGAATATTTGTTTTTATTTAGCAAAAATTTAAGGAAATGATAGTGCACCATATAAAGTTTTGCAATTTCATTTTTTTTTTAATTTATCTTCATCATTAAATCCCAATGAGGAGGGGTTAAACTACCAAAGTAAGTCAGTTCTAAATCAGCACTGAATTTTTTTAACACATGTGAAACTGGTATTAAATATTAAATAGCAATATGGACAGTGGTGATGCGGCAGATCTAAGGTATTTACTTTTTTTTATTTCACAATGATGTGCTTGGGCCGACTAGTTGACTTTTGAGAGGACGGTACGTGTGCGCAAAAATAGATAGGAAGAGCCAGCAAAGAATATGTTTTTTTTTTGTTTTTTTTTTGTGTAGGAAAAATGTAATAAATTTACACATGGTAATTTTCTTTGTTTCCAGGGAAGAAACTGGTGCCAGCGATCAGCCTGGTTTTGTGTGCAGATCAGTGATGCATATTTTAGCTGAGGACTAAAGGAAGTATTATACGCTATGGGTTTAGTTTTTTGTCCTTATAAAGACGATAAAGGTCTTCTGGCTATTTTTTGCAATGGTATATATATCTGAGATTTCCATGATAAGGTGTAAATATTTTTTCTGTCGCCACCGTCGATCCGCCATCTTCGAGGTCTCGGTTTGACTGGCTTGGGTACGCTACGCGGTCGTCCGATGCTAGTGTGTGCTAATTTCATATCGTTGAAGCTTCGTTGAACAGAAGAGAGAAGAAAAGTTTGTCTCGGGGGCGGGCCGTTTTCCTTGTTGCCGCCGAGTACCGTGTGCAAAGGCTGAGCCGCATGTAAGCAATTTGGCGAGCGACGGGACGAGACGAGCGACAGCGACGAGACAAGCGACGACGACCCGCTTCGCTGTCGCTCGGTCACTCGCGCGACGTGGCAAACCGCATGAAAGCGACGGGAGCATGCGATGAAGGCGGTAAGCGACCCTTTCTAGAAATCCAAAAACCGAGCGACGCGACGACCGATCGCGAGAAATCTCCGTCGCTCGTCGCCGACTCCCGTCACTGTCGCCGTCGCTCGCTAAATCGCTTACATGCGGTTCACCCTTCACTGTCACTCGTCGCGTAGCTCGGTTCTGGGATTTCTAGAAAACTTAGCGCTCATCGCCTTGGTCGTGTGCTCCCGTCGCTTTCATGCGGTTTGCCTCGTCGCGCGAGTGACCGAGCGGCAGCGAAGCGGGTCGCCGTCGCTTGTCTTCCCACTCGCCAAATCGCTTACATGCGGTTTTTAAATCGCTTGGGCTTACGAAAAAGGCGCCGCATTTTTCATAAGCTGCGCACTCTGTGAACCGCACGGTATGCTTCTGCACAGGAACGAACACCGAAGGCACGACGTATGTACGACACAGCGGCGATGGAGCAACACGGTTACACGGCCGTAGTACAAAAAATCCGCTAGAGAAAAGCAATAAAGAAACTAGCATAACAAAACAAAGAGAAATCACACCGTGCTACAAAAGCACCGAAGTAGAAAAATTAGTTCTTGCAAGAGCTACCGCCGTCGGCACGGCGGGCGACACGGAGCGCTTCATGGAGCCGAGGGAGCAACGCGGCCGCGGTAAACGAGTCCGATAGCGACAAAACCGAACTAAAACACACAAAAAATACTCCCACGGCGCTTCAAAAGCACCAAAGTATAAGAATAACCCCTAGTTTTGATCAAAAAGACCCTCTAAAGTTGTAAAATACTGCTAAACCACGCTCAAAAGGTCCGGCCAGATGGCATTCGCGATAGCAAGAGACCTCGAAGATGGCGACCGTGGTGGGCGATGGCAGCGAACCTAGCGAGTGACGTCAAGTGAATGTCACCGTTAATGACGAAACTGGGTACTTCTGTACTAAGCTGAAAATTTTAGTTTTACTATTGTTGCTCTTCATCTGCCATTCTCGACACCATGACCAACCACACAACAGGTCACTGTGTAAAAGGGTAGCAAGATACATTAAATATTTTCCTATTAATCACGTGGTCCTCCGTATATAAGCGAATAGTGGTGTTAGGAATGGGCGCCGGAGAAAAGCTCACCGACCTTTGAGCGGATGCGGAGAAAAGCTCACCGATTTCTTTTAACTTAGCGGATTCTGGGTCAAATGTTGCAATTTAACATAATTCGCATTCATCACTTTATTAAAAATATGTCCACTTTTTTGTAATATTCTTGAAGTTCATTGGGCATATTTACTAATTCATCTAAAATTAATAATCACCCATTCTGTATACTAATGAAGCCGCTAATATAAAATAAGAACATCCTACTCTGGTAAAAAAGACAACAATTTATTGACAACTGGCAGTGATCATAATGCAATTAAATGCAAAAGCTACCGACGGCACACTGGCAGTGTGCCGTCGGTAGCTCCGTCAAATAAAGAGATTTGCTTTTTTGCAAGTTAATATGAATAGTGGTGTGTGAACAATTTCAGCTCCAAATATTGTGTAGTGCCTAATAGATAAGTAGGTGTTTGTTGATTTAATCAGTGTCGGTTACACTGTTTTCTTTGTTAATTTCACTAACAAAACTTTAGTTGCGACAACAGCTGCATCCTGTCGTGTTTGTTGTCTTCACCCCGTCGTCGTCGTTTGAGCGGTTTTCGGCAAGCATAACTTTTACCAACTCGCCCTATTCGCTACCTTACGGAAGATTAGTTCTTATATAGTGGCGAGTAACAACGATGAAAAGAAGGAACTGTCGTTTAACAATCTGCATTTACGAGGATGCCTGTGCTGAGGAGTGTCAGCCCAATACAATAACTTCAAAGTTCTCCTAAACTCCCAAGTCTATTTTTTTTTTACCATTTGAAAAGGCAGCACAATGTCTTCACATGCTTTAAACAACCGTAGTGAAAACATGATGCCACCTCGTGGAGGGCAGGAATTGGGCTATTGTCAGAACCGACACCTGAAGCCGCCACTCTCTTAACTTCTACAGCGAGATACCACCATCAAGCAAGAGGGCAAAGTGGGAACTTTCTAAAGAGCTACTCTGCCCGTGGCACATTTGCTTCAGCTGAGGTATGAATGTCGGACGAGAAACATAACTACACTGCGGAAACTTGACTGTAGACCTTTTTTCTGAGAAACGGTGAAGCAATATAGATACATGGTTATAGGGGTGTGCAAATATTCGAAACTTTAAATACTTCGCGAACTGTGCTTGCAATTCAATTCAATTCGCTTCGCACTTTCACTGTTCGAAGTATTCGAGTTCTTTGAATATTTGAAACTATGAATAACGCTGAACTCGCTGATCAGTTTCAACTCGCGGTCGAGTTCCGTGTTTTGTTTTTGGACTGTGCAGTACAGTTTCAAGCTTGGCAAACCGAAAAAGCCAACCTAAGTGCCTTTTTTTTAAGTATGAACCACTGGAAAGTTATTTGCACGCAGTAACGCGATCCGCCCTTCGCTTGCCGTGATGTCTGAATTACCGAATAAGCAAAGTGGTCGTGGCACAAACAACAGCAGAGCCTTCGCTGCGATAGATTTGACGAGGGACTACGATTTGCAACGGCACATGCGTCGTCGTGAGTACAAACGGCACGAACCACAGTCCTTCCTACAGTCGCCAAGCTGCTATGGATATGGGTATAGATTTACGACTGACCTCGTCCTCGGGTATCAACGATACCTGGTTCATGTTATTTTCCGCTTGATTTTCCGGTTCGCTGGTTCTTCAGTATTCCTTTCGTTATTGATTTCAACCCGTTTTCAATGGTAAAAGTGACAGACTTACTTCCCCTGCCAAAAAAAAAAAGTCGCATTCTTAATTTATAGTTTCTCAGTGGCAGCCTTGTTCAGCAGAGCTATCGCGCACGGAAAGAGATTGTGCATAGTCAGTGCGGCTGCACGGCGCGATCGTGCAATCTTTGACTTTCTTGTGGCCTGTTGACCCGCCTCCGCTTGTGTACTTACGTTTACTTTCACGTGCACGGTTACGCTCACCCGTATAAGAAAGATTGCACAAAGTCGGTGCGGCTGCACGAAGCGATCTTCAACTTTGCACTGTAGCTTGCCAACTTGCCTCCACTTGTGTACCGTATTTTCCGAGCTATAGTCCGCGGACTATACATGTTTAAAAGTTGAAATTTCTGGCTGTGCGGACTATCTACGCGTGTGGAATTGTTTTTCAAGATCGTTTATTTATGACGAGACGTGACGAATTTTGAACACGAAAGTGTATGTTAATGATGATTTATGCACATTATAGGCTTTATTGTGAGCTAAAAAGCAGACATTTGTAAACGTGTGCCGTCTATGAGAAGATTTTCGTGTCGACTAAGCACCAGGTGCGGACTATGCACCGGGTGCGGGCTATCTAAGCAAAATCTTTTAATTTTGACCCCAAATTTCCCCCTGCGGACTATAAACCGGGTGCAGACTATAGTCCAGAAAATACGGTACTTTCTTTTGCATTTTGTAACTCCTTAATTGACTGATTGATATTCTATTTCATCTGTTTTTCATCTGTCATACGTGTGACTTAAAGGGACACTGACAGGGTGTTTATGCTCGCCGATGTTTCTAGTTGTACGTGACATATGAGGGCTCAACTACCCAGAACAGAATTTGCGGCTCGAAATTCGGTTTCTTTCCGGCCGAAAACCGCCGATCAAGAATTCGCCGGTTCGAGTCTCGCTCACTCTCTTTTTCGCGGTCACGGGCCGTTTTCTAAGGTATCGATGCGACCACCAAATTTAATCAAAGTCGTGGGTCACTGAAGGCACACACTCAATATTAAAAATAGAAAAAAATATGAAACCCATTTTTTGTGGCTTCTAAAAAGCTGTAAATACGTTGATTGAAAAAAAAAAAAGTTCCACAGACAACCGGAAGCATTCTGTGCGTTCGTCGTTTACTCGCGGGGACGGCGATGGCAGCGGACGACGGGCGTGGGACCTCTATTTCAGAACTGTCGTTCGCGGTACCGGCTAATTCTGTCTACCGTTAAAAGAGAAATTTGGGACTGATCAAAAGAATTGGTATTCATCCCGTACGACACGCCCGGCCACCAAGCCGATTTGCACGAAGACGTCGCCGAGCCGCCGCTCCCTTCTCGTGGCTGAAGACATCGCTCGCGCAAACGTCAAGCACGACGTGTCTACTTCGAGTTGAATATGCACGCGTACGATTTCTTTACTAGGTGCGAATGTCCCCAAAGCGTGGTGCTTCCCGACTTCGACCCGGGAGTGCTTTTGCTAGAGAAAAATCGACAGCAAACTTTCACTTACAGTTTACCGGCTCAATTATTACTAAGGAAAGAGATCCACCAGAAACGAGATGCCCCAGTAGCTCAGTGGGAAAGACGTCCGCTTCACACGCCGTAGGACCGGGTTCGATCCCCCGTGATTTTTTTTTTTTTTTGCAAACAATTTTTTATGTTTACATATCTTTTTCTTTTTTTTTACAATCATCACTGAAGAAACAAACAAAAAAATAACAAACAAATGTTGTGGACGATACTTCGCTGAATTAAACGGTATGGGAT